TAGCATTAAAAATGAGATTTTTCCTGTATGAAACAGTATATTTTAAAAGGAAATGGAGATCTTTTTTAAAGGTTAAAACCTCATTCAATTTTATGTCTTATAGGGTTTATACTGAGTTCAATATTGTATAACTGTATTAATTCAACTGTAAACCTAAAAATTTATAGCCAATTCTGAAAGAGATGCATCTTTGTTCTGGAAATTTATTTAATATGTTACTGCTGTAATGAAATGCTTCTTCTAATCATGTAGTTATTAAAATAAATAAACCATAGACTATTTTAGCAAAAAAAAAGAGCAATGAATTGGAGAATCATTCATTTTTCTATTGTCTATATATGTTCATTACTAGATCCCATAGCCTTCTCTCATATTCTGTTCATTGGTCAAGAGGGACTGACATGGCTATTCAGAAAAGGAAAGATGAGATGACGTTGACAAACTAAGTAGTTTAGTAGATAAACTATTATTTATATGTCATTTTATTGTACAATTTGAAACTGCTATGTAAATGCAGGGCTTAAATAGTGTTCTAATCTTTCAATCTGTAGTGCTACTGTTCCTATTTGTGAGTTCCAGTTTAAAAATAGGCAGCATGGGCTGGAGAGATGGCTCAATGGTTAAGAGCACTGAATGCTCTTGCAGAGGACCAGGGTTCTATTCCCAGTACCCACATGGCAGCTAACAACCATCTTAACTCCAGTTCTAGGGGATCTGACGCTCTTCTGACCTCTGTGGGCATTGCACAAGTGCGTATACATGCTTACAGGCACTACACTCTTACACAGAAAAGTAGTGGTCCCCAAAACAATAAAGGCCATTACCAATAATGTTGGTTGTACACAGGAAGTGGATGGTAAAACCCTATTGCTGAAGACACTACATGATGTAAGCATGGGAGAGGGAAAAAATCAAGCTTGGACTAAGCTGGAAACTCCCTCCTCCTGGGATAGGTGGCTTTCATAGTGCCAGAAGGCAATATGCAGATGGATGGGGAAAAACTGTCCCCTGTAATCCCATGCAAGAACAGATCCCTGTGTTGCACTATCAACATGTCTAACAAGATGTTCCTGCCAGTGTAATAGTGACACATCTAGTGTATGTGCAACCAGTAAATTTTTCATTGGATATAATGTCTGCTCCTAGAGGTAGAACACACATCTGGTACTGTAGACCAGGCCAACCCCCTGTGGCAGGGGAGGATATAGAACCCAGTGTGGAAGCCACTGCAATTGTTTTGTTAGATGCTTGTGATGCCCCTGCTAAAATACCATCCAAGCATTTGTGTTTATGCCCATAGGTTATTATAGCAGCCACTGTTTAGATGTTCTTATTTCTAGGTGTTTGTTTTATAGTAGATGGAATCCCACTGAAATGGGCCAAGAGCCCATGAAAAACAGATGATGCAGAGACCTGAAATTTCAGTGCCTTGCCACAATGGGGGAAGACCATCCAACACCTATCACATCCTCCAAGGCTCAGGGACTTTTGTAGAGAGATTGGCGGAAAGAATGTAAGAGCCAGAGGAAGGGGTGGAGTGTTAACTGGAAGTGTCCTTTGACCACTATGCCCTATGCTGGCAAGCTATAGTCATACCTCCTTCCCATGCTCATCAAGGAGTCAGTTACACCTCCTACCCAATCAGTTGACCTTAGCTGCATGTGGGGGAGGGGCTAAGACATATAAGCCAAAAGTACCATGAGGCACCTCTCTCACCATTTTGTTCAGCTGTCAGGATGTCAGAGAATATATATTTGAGTGTGGACATTCCAGTACAGCCATAAATGAGGGGGGCATGCTTCTGTAAATCCTTTAGTTTTTTATTTCTTTTTTTTAAAAAATATTTTATTATTTTTATGTGTATGTATATTGCCTACATGTATGTGAGCGTACCTGTGTTGTGCAATGCTGCAGAGGGCTTCAGATTCCCCTGGAACTGGAGTTAAGGACGGTTTGCAGCCGCCATGTGGGTGCTGGGAATCGAACCTGGGTCCTCTGCAAGAGCAGTCAGTGCTCTTAACTGCTGAGCCATCTCTCCAGCCCCTAGTCTTTGATTTCTTATTCCTATTTTTCCCCCCTTAAACTTTATTGTATATATATTTTTATGTACTTGCTTCAAGTTATTTTTCTGGAAAAATGTGTTAAAAATTGCCTCTCTTGGGAATAACAAAAATATTCTAAAATTTAAAAAAAAAAGAAAAAGAAATAATAAATAAATAAATAAATAAATAAAAATAGGCAGCATGTTTACCAAGAGATCAGAGTTCTTACTGAGGCTGTTTCAGTCTGTGACAACACCTTGATGTGTTACTATACTTCTCTAACTTTCTGTATTACCTTATGGGATGGCTACACAAAACTTAAGAATTTAAGAATAAATCTAAATTTTCTAAGAGTAGAAACAACCTTATTTATGTTTATTTTATGTGTCTGAGTGTTGTGTCTGCATGTACGTCAGTGTACTATGTGCATACAATACCTAAGGGGCCAAAAAAGGGAATCAGATCCCTTGGAACTGAAGTTACAGCTATTTGTTAGCTGCAGTGTGCATGCTAAGAACTGAACGTGGGTCCTCTGCAAGAACAACCAGTGCCCTTAACCACTGAGCCACCTCTTCAACTCTAAAACTTATATGAATAATTTTTTAGCAAGTAAAACTTTAGCTCTTGTACTCACCAAAGGGTTTAATTCTTAATGTAAGTTGAAGCTGTTGATTTCTAAGCAAACAATCCTGTCTCTAAATGTATATTAATGCTTAATGTATCAACTTATTGAATAATCTCAGAGCACTAAACATCTTCAAAGTCAGAAAACCAAAGTTTCCATGGACAGAATACAAACTAGAGAAAAACAGTTGACGACCAAAGAAATCCTTACCTATGCATTCTATTAACTGTCTATGCTCGCAAATGTTTCATTCTTTTGCATATTGTCTAAAACTTGGTTTGTGTTATTTATCTGACTGCCCTGGAACTCACTGCACAGACTCAAACTCAGAGACCCACCTGCCTCTAGATTACTTGATAAAGCCTAAAACCTGGTATTTTAAAAAGCTTGATAGAAGTTTGAATATGGTAAATGATGCACCCATGGATTTTAATAACTAATTCCACACCTAGTGCTTGCAATTTTAAAGTTCATTAATGATTTGTAGAGATATAATAGTCACAACAGCTCTTATCACTGGATAAAACTCTCTTAATGCCAGTTTCTAAGAGGAAAATACTTTGTTCTATTCATTTATAATCATTAAATAAATAGCACAAGTTCCTCAACAAACTGAAAGATTTGTCCAGGCTCTTCTCACAAGTTTAAAGTTAGGTCTTATTGATGCAAAGGACAGTAGTAGCTATTATTAAAATTCTTAATTAGCCAACAGTAGTGGCACACACCTTTAGTCTCAACACTCTAGAGGCAAATGTAGGTGGATCTCTGTGAGATCGAATCCAGCCTGGTTTACATAAGGAGTTCTAGATCAGCTGGGGCTACAGAGAGACCCTTATCAAAAAACAATTCTACCTTAATTTTTAAAGGAATTTAATATTCATATAACCAAAATCATTTTACAAAACAATTTAAGTGACTTGCTAGAAGTCACAGGCACTAGAGAAATAAAAATTTTTAACATTTTGGCTTGTCCTATTATGAAACTGTATCCTCTAGGATATGCAGACCAATTGTGGGAGACTGGAACATGGTTAAGTGTTGAGCTAAAGGTTTACAAAGTATTAAAAAGTACATTATACAGACTTGAGGAAGAAGAGAAAGCCTAGGAGTGTTCCCGAAGAAATTGAGACTTATTTCAGACTTCATTTTGTTGGGTCTGGGGAGGAACCCTCGTTTCTACTAAATTAGCATATTCTGTTTTCAGAATCTTCCAGGGTTGACTTTGGAATTGATAGCACAAAAGTTAGAATATCAATACTACGTAATTAACCTCTAAGCTACTGTTTCTCCAGTGTGGTTCCTGTACCAACTGTTTAATCACCTGGGGTCTTGTTAAAAATACAGGCTTGGGAGAGATGGGGATGTGGCAAGGGGTACCTTGGACTTACTCTAAATCTCTCCGGGTGAAGTCTAGGAGATTGTTGCTTTATGCTTGAAGAGTCCTGGGAATTTATAAGTAGAAAAATAACTTTTGTTAGTGGCTCCAAATGGTTCTTGCTTCAACATGACCTCTTTTGTGGGGGCAGGGAGGGGGACGACGATGACGAAAACAGTGTGGGGGGGATTTAAAAAGAAGATATGGAAATATTGCATTACAGACTGAAAGCTTCCATTCCTTACTTGCCCCTTGCATTGATAAATGTCAAGTTATTGAACCCAGAGATTCAAGAGTGCTCCAGTTGCCCAGTGCCTGGAGCTGGAGGTGGCACACTTAGTCTGATGCTGTAGGCAAAGTATGCAGAGCTTGGAGACAGCACCCCTCCAGTCCTCAAACCATTACTTATCACTTATCATATACTAAGTTTCTTAATCTGTCTTCACCTATAAAGAAGGAACAGTCATAGCACTTGCATCTCTGCACCGTTGACAGCCTTAAATATACATAGCAATGAAATGTGTATGCGAATGCTGAAAACCTCGAGTTTCATAAATGCTTATTCAAACTCAAGCAGTACAGTCTCCAATAAGGAACTGCAATTATCAGGAGAAAATATGAATATTAATAAACGCAAATAACAGACCATCAGGTATCCTGAGGACACCTGAAGCCATAGAGGGGTGCAAAATTGGTCTGCCCCCTCTATCTCCCCGGCCGGCAGCGGCACGTGGCGGACTCCAGCGGGAGCTTCGCGACAGTGGGGGAGGGGAGCGGCGAGGGCGCAGGCGGAGGGGGTCTAGACACGCCGGCTTCGGTTGAGGAGCCTCCGAGTGCGCAGGCTCAGCATAGGCGCAACCACTGCGACCAGGTCGGAGGGGGAGCCGGCGGCCTGTCCCCGCGGGGTGGAGGGAGCCGCAGCCTCGTTCCCCCCCACGGCGGCCGCAGTGGTCGCGCCCCCCTCCCCCGGAGCCCCGCAGCTTCGGCCGCACTCCCCTGCCGGAGTGTAGCGCGTCGGCGCCGCTGCCTCCCCGGCTCCTCGCTCTCGAGCCCTCTGCCGGGCGGAACCGAGCCCTCCGGGCGCCCGCTACCTTGCGGTCGGGCCGCCCTGCCCCCGCGGGCCCGCGCTCCTGCCTTCCCCTCAGCCGTTTTCTCCGGCCGCCGAGTCGCGGCGCGGGCGGGAGCCGCAGGAGGAGGAGCCGCAGCCGGGAGGCGGCGGCCTCGCGAGCCCATGGCGTACAGTCAAGGAGGCGGCAAGAAGAAAGTGTGCTACTACTACGATGGTGAGGGCCGGCCCGGGCTGAGGAGACTGCGGAGGAGGGACGAAGCGCGGGCCCTTTAACCCGTCGCGGTCCGAGAAAGGCCTTCCGCGGCCCTGGGGCTCCCGGGGACGCCCCGCTTGCCCCCCTCCGTCCTCGAGGACACGGCCGCTGCCCGGCCCGGCTTGGTGGTGGCCGGGGACGGCCTGCCCTCGCGTCCTCTGCCCGCAGCCAGCGCAGGGCTCGCGGTGTCCTGCCCGCGTTCAGTCGCGACGAATCCTAGTCTCCACCCCGGCCTGACTACACAAAGCCCCGCGCCCCGGAGCTCCGCCCCGCCGCCCTCTCCCCTCCCCCGCTCGCCCCTGGGGTCTGTCTGCCGGTCGGTCGCTCCGCGTGGAGCTGAGCTTCCAGCCTCTCCCGGACCCCGCCGCCCGGATGGGGCTGCGGAGGAGTTACTGTGGGCGGGGGTCCAGGTTCGCCCTGAGGCGCCTTGGCTGGGGGGTAGCCTGCGCTCCACCCCTCCCCTTTGTTCCCCGGCTTCTTTGGGCGCCACTTTTCTCCGGATTGTAATGAAAGGGCTGCACTTCCAATGTCATTGACATTTGGGGTTTTTGAGTTGGTGATGGGTAGGCCAGTAGGAAGGTAATTGGAGGGGGCTGGAGAGCATGGAGTTGTGCTGTGTAGCTCCCACTCGATGGGTCCTGGCTTGCTTCTGGGAGGTTGTTACCACCCACTTCTTTGTTGCCCTTTGTTGGATCTGGAAGTATACGGTGGTTCTGGGGCTTTGAGAGAGCCTGGGCATCTTGCTTGGGAAGTCTGTACCTAGATGCTGGGAATCTTAGCGCAGGGAAACTTTAAGAAGTAGTGCGCAGGGACTCGGTATTCTAGTTAGGGAAGGCGAGTACAGTGACTGTAAGGGTTCTCTGCTCTGGAGTATGAGCAACAACATTGAATCTGAATTGTCTCCTGGGGCCGTCTCAGACTAAATGGAGTAATAACCTGTTACAGATCTCACAGACTTGAATCGATTACTCTTGAGAGAAGAAATAAGGAAATTTGGCAAACTAGCGTTAGTGACCTGAAGTCCTACCAGATCCTTACAAAGCAATGCAAAAATGGCCTTTTGAAAGCCACGGTGTCTTGGAGAAGTGGCTGAGACCCTAAAGGACTAGGTCAGAGTAAGCCTGATTTTTAACTTGAAAATGGTCTTGCCTTCTCTTCTTTTCGCAGAATCTTTTAATGGCTGTTTTAAATAAAATAGCCACCGGAATCATTTGCTGAGAAATCCAAAACCTTACAGAAAGCTAGGACAAAATAGTAAAGGATTTTTTTCAAATGCTACTTTTTTTTTTTCAGAAGATTGCATATGTGTTTAATAAGTTGGTTTGATATTAGCATCATTGGGCTGGAGAGATGGCTCAGCAGTTAATAGCACCGACTGCTCTCGCAGAGGACTCGGGTTCGATTTCCAGCACCCACATGGCAGCTAACAACTGTCCTAATTCTATTCCTGGGGATCGGACCTCCCCTTCTGACCTTCACGGGCATTGCACCACACGGATGCACCTGCCTACATGCAGGCATTATATTCCTACACATAAAATAAAAAATTCAAAAAAGAAATTAGCATCGTGTAGGGCAGATATGGGAGACCATTTCAGTTTGAACATGAATTATATTGCATAATTGGCATTCATGGTTGTCCTGCATTCTCTGATCCTGTTGGAAAGGATATAACCCTGTAAATTAATTTGAGAAATTAGGACAGTTACAGAGTTTCTACAGGAAAGCCTGTTCTTGTGAGCTTGGAGTCAAGAGAAAGTTTAGCAGTTGAGTTGGGAAGCTGGTACTTAGGCTCCACAGCTGTCAGCTGCTCTTGGCAGTGCTGGGTGGGCTCTGAGTGGGTAAGCTCCTTGTGACTTGTCACCCTGCAGAACCAGGAGGTACACCTGAGTAGCAGTTTCTTGAGCAGCTGTTTGTTTCTGGGTTCATGTATGAGTCTGTTGAGGGATGGGATAGGCACTAGTTACAGATGGGAGGCCCGTTTGACATGCAGAATGAAGATACTTTTCAGTCATGTGATTTTCACTTACTACTTACTACTTTGACCCATGCACCTGCTTTACCTGGTTGTCAGCAACCACGTGTATGCTGCCAGGTAGAAATCTGCTGGGTTGTCTGGTATCTGTGGCTCTATTTGAATTGCTTTTAGAATGGACTTAACGTTGCTTACATTCTGAATTATTTGTGTTTGGGAGGAGGCTAAGAAAATTACAGAGATTCTTAAATTGAATAGTTACAATTATGCTAACAGGTGATAGCATGCTAGGCTACTTAAATAATTCCCCAGACTTCTCTTTTCAGTACTAAAAACCTTACTTTGCAATCCTATAAAAGTAGAAGCAATCTTTAACTGTCTTTTTAAAATTGTGACCAGAGGATACAAGGAAAGTAACTTCTGTATCAAAGAAATGCATGACTTTGAAATATATAGAGAATTGGGATGGAGTGGGCAGTGTCAGTAGTAATAGGGCCTCAATAATGTATAGCCAGTTTTCGGTTTTAATTGTTGGCAAGAGTGAATAAACAAATTCTATAACAGTGGCTCTTTAGGCCAAACGGGACCCGTAGGCAGGCACCAGGACTCTTGGCAACTCAGAGAATCCTTATTGCTGGAGCTGTCTGCGTAATGAATACTTGTGAAGATACATATGCTTTTCTTCATGTGTGCCATAGTCTTCAGTTTGTACTTTTAGATGACTATATCTCTGGTCCCTTCAGACAGTGGTATATATGAGCTATCCCAAACCTAAGAAGTTAGAGCTGATCTTAGCTGACTGTGGCTATTGACTCATGTCTCTAAAGTTCCCCAAAACACATTTCTAAATTTGGGGTCATTCTTTCCTATACTAAAAGATTAATACTTTGTAAAGCGATACATAGAAAATTATAGCTAATTAGGTGCACACTAAGATCCTTTCTGACCTTAAGTTGATGTTATTTTTTCTCAAATGTAATTAGCAAATCAAACTACATTTGGCAGTAATGGAAATGCTCACATTCTTAGTACTTTACCTAGAAATTTAAACTATGTTTTGAATGAATCTTGGGGATAATTACATGTACTGTCTTGTGATGTAAACAATGTAATAAAATCAAATATATGCCTGGTATAGCTAAGCACCAATTGCTTTGTTCCCTGTTTATTCTTCCTCTGACAGGGATGCATAATCAGAATGTTTGGAGGCATGGTCCAGAGAAAAGCACTCAGTACTAAAATCTAGACTAATGGTTACCAAAATCACACCTCTCATGGTACTCCTTATCACATACGGGAATTGTACAGAGCAGCCAACTACTGTCAGATTTATTCTTGTATTTTTATTTAAAACAATGGCGCCAGTGTCTTTTGCTAGTAAGCTTTTAGTACAGCTGCCTGGATTCTTAGCTGTTGTGTAGATCTTTACTGTCATGAAGAATAATTTTATATATAATTATTTTTTGGCTGCAGTCCGGCACCGAACGAACTACAGCAGCCGTGCATGAATATTGATGTTAATTGTGCATGGGATATAAATTTAGTAAAATTTAACAGACATTTCCTGTGCTTGAATCCCATTCCTCCAGAAGTCCTTTACCCTTCACTTCCTTCACATTTCATCTTATCAGAGAGGCTTTCCCCAATTACCTTGATCATCATTTACAGCTTTATTTTTCTTCTATTCTGTGGCCTGAGTCTTTTCCCACTGGAATAAAAGCTTCATGAGCACAGGACATCTCTTTTGCTTTTTTTAAAATTTCCAATATCTAAACTCAGACTTGATTTATTCTCCTTAAAAAATTTAGTATTGCTAGGCATGACATACTCATTTAAATCCCAGCAGTTGGGAGATGAAGGCCATCCTGCTTACCATAGTGAGGTCCAGGCCATCTGGGGCTACGGGCGACCCTACCTCGAAAAAACAACAAATTTTTTTTTAATGAATGTTAACAAATCTTTAAAACAGTTGTAGTCGGGCGAGAAGAGTGAAACTTTTTAGAGAATGTTAACAAAATGAAGCATGATGCCATCAGATTTAAGTTCTAAAGAAGATTGATTAGTTGGCCCTATTCTTCTATTTCAGTGTTTACACTTGTGCATGAAGTAAACTTCAAGTTCAGAAACATGAAATAATTTTAAGTCCTTGGGTGTGTTTCTAATTGGGTCTCTGGTAAGATAATCAGAGAGTAAGAGTAAATCTTAAGGAAGGAAATGGTCAATCTTTTTAAAAAGAGTTCCTCCATCAAGCTGCAAAAGCCAAGTCCTTAGAACGCTGCATACTGAAGAGAAGGCCAAGAAGATGACAAGAAAGCTGGGGGCTGCGAGTGAGGCCACAGGTCACCAAAACACCGTCACCTGTAGAAAGACTTATTTAGGGGGTGCCTTGAATCTTTTAAAGTAGAGGCCGTTGTTGCGCTTAAGAGAATTGTTAAGTGGTAGAATGTAGGTTGGAAGCAAGAATTGAATACATATTTGTCTATATAAGTGTAATGGTTATCACTTGGATTTAAATGAATACACTTAAAGAGGTTTATAGAGAAAAATCAAGAATTTGTTGATGACTTGAACATGGAGTTAGAGCTGACAAATAGTCAAAAGTCAAGGGTAGTTTCAAGTTTTCTGGCTTGAGCACTTAGGTATGTCTGAGAACCACACTGAGATCATAAAGACTAAGTGTGCTGTTTTGACTATGTTCTATTTGAAATCTTTATTTAGTTCAAATGAAATAGTGAGAAAAGTTACATCTGTGAGCCTAGGACCCAGGGGAGAGAAGAAGCTACAGAAATCGTGTTTCTTAGCTTGTAAACTGGTAAAGTATTAGCTCTAAAGGAGGTGTGGAGAGACATAAGCACCCAGGACTTTTTCCGACTGAAGCTGTAGGACAGTACTCTTATCTATGATGTTGTCCTCAGGCACTTACAGTGTCTGCTTGGCAAGTGGAGGCTCTTGACTTGTTAATGAATGAATAATGCTGAGAAAACCC